AAGATTATAGTCATCTTGTGTAAATCTATCTAAAAAACGATCAAAACAAACTATCAATAATTTCATAATAATTCCTTTTTAAAGAACTCTAATTGGAGTTTTTTTCACAAATTGTATTTGGTCTCTATTAAAAAATCGTAAAAATTTATAGGCGTTTTAAGTACCCTTGATGATTTGTGGGGAGTGAGATTAAATTTTGATAAAAGTTTTTCAGCCTTAATTCTAATCAAATCAAAAGAATTATCGCTTCTATTATTTTTTAATATATTAATGGAATCAATATAATTTTTAGCATCCACGGGGGGGGCGCAGGGGCTCAAGCCACATGAAAAATTCGAATAGCCCCCTGAAGCAAATATTTTTTTAATGGCTACTTAATATCTCCTTGAGCTAAAAATAAATTTTTTAATTGCCCTTTAATTTCATTTATAATTCTATTGAGTAATATATAGATTTAATTTTATTAAAAAATTAAAAAGTCTATCTTAATTTTTATTAAATGAATACTATTTTAAATATTAGATTAGATTAATTGTTATAAGTGCAAATGAAAAAAATGGATCAAATTCAAATTTGAAAGATGTTAAAGAATTATACAATTTTTTAGAAAGGATAATTCTGGGAAAACATGTAAAATATGTCTATAGATATTTTAATATTCTTCAAGCACAAGTAAATTATGCATATATATCAAATTGAAAGCTCAAAATTGTAAATATATGAATAAAAATTGCATCAAATAAACCTAGTTATAGTTATGATTAATGCTGGGAACCAATATTAAAAACCCAAGATTAATGAAATATTGTTTGGTATGGGCCTAAAATATTGGTATTAGTTTGAATAATATTTTCTATTTCTTCTATATGTATTGGTTTAAATTCAAATTATTAATTAAAAGAATAGAAATAGTCATTTAAAAAACCCGTAATTTGTAGTTTTAAATAATCATGAAGCATTCCCATAAAAACAGCGGAACCAACTCTCAAAATTTTACTGAATCCAAACTTTTTTTTAACTAGGAATTTATTAATTGATGTGAAATCAAAATTGTTTATAATAAAAATGATTTGATGATATAATTAAAATGTTGATAATTAAACACATTTCATTTTTAATTAATTTAATGCAGAATAAAACTTATAGCTTCAAAAACATATTTTAGATGGGGCCGGACTGGATCGACGGCCCCACGTTTTGGTCTCACTTGACTTAATGGTCCATCGCTCCAGTCTCATTTTAGAAAAAAAGGACCCGACCGTTGCAAAAACTGAAGTTTTACTAATTCCTCTTTAAATTTTTCTTTACAATGATATATTGTATACATTTTGGGGTTGAAGGGGAAAAAATTTATTAGCTTAAAATGATATTTATTAAAACAGGCAAATTTGTGATGGGGCAGCCTTAATTGATATTAGGGAAAAAGGATAAAGAAATTAAAAATATGATGGCCAATAATTTTAACTGAGTGGCTCAGACTTCTCATAAAATTTTAATGGGTTGCCTGATTTTTCAAAAATCTTAACGGGCCAGGATATTTGTAAATTTTTCAGGCTTTGCAGATCTCTTAGAAAAATAATTGGATTGGTGTTAAAATTTTAGAAAAATCCTTTACTATTAATTTAAAATCAGAATCATTTTTAATTTATACAGCTAATAAGTAAAAATATAATTACTATAGTGTAAAAATTGTTGAACCCAAGCTGAAACTGTTTGTCTAGCTTTAAACAAATGAAAACTATCATTTATATAATTTTATGTTCAAGTTAAAAATGTCTGTTTGACATATAAAAAACGGGTTTAACATTATTCATACAAAGATTTTTGGAGTGGCTAATTTGGGCAAAATATTCCATGATTTTGAAATATTTTCTAAAGCTTTGAATTAGGCCAATTTTGGAGTTGACATTGAAAATATTTTGTGGACAAGGCAAAATGTGCCAGAAATCTTTATATGCTGGTATGAGTCATGCTAATCTCCCAAAGAAATGTGTTGCGTTGAAATGTCACGGATTTAAAACATTGTAGCAATATTCCATCATAGACTAATACAGTTGAAACGATTTAATTGCAAAGCATTGGGGAGAAAGCTCATTCTTTTTTGCATTTATCCGATATTTCGCAATTAAGAAATACTTTTAATTTATTCATGATTTCTCTTATTTTTTTAGAGATTGACATACTTCATTTCCTTCTTTTAATTTATAAATTTAGCTTTTAATTTTATTCATTTAATAAGTTTTTCGACTGTTAAACATTATGAATAAATATAAAAGGGACTTTAGAACCTTCGCTTTATCTGCTGGTTCTCACCTAACCGATTAAGATTTGTATAATAATGTTTAAGGGATAACCGATTTGCATTTTAACAGTTTCAATTGTAAAGTAATCATTTATAATAGATAAAATTTAGTCTATTAGAACCAGTCAGCATTGCTGCTCTTTTTATATATTTTATAGTGTTCGATTACAATTCAGAAAAAAATGTCTCCTTCTTATTTGTTGGGCCATGATCGCCATCTTATAAATTTCGGGTTTCAGTTTTTGAACACATTTCTGAAAGTTTCTTTTATTCTCTATTTTATTCAAACAATTTTCGTTTCGCTCAAATTACTTTAAGATATCATTTTGCAACCCTAATCCAACATTTCTATTTATAGTTTACCACATGCTAACTATCTGCCCTCCATTGGATTATATAATTTTATTTTCCAACATATTTTCACCCACTATTTTTTGACTTCTGCATTTACCTTCCATATAGAATAAGTATCTGTAAACATTATACCTCACTATGCTTCTAGCATCATTTTATTTATCGAATCAGGGAACACCAAAGGCAACAATAGACAGTTTTAAATCCTTAAATTGATTTACTCTTACCTACAATAAGTCATTTTTGACAAAAAGTGGATAAGAATAATCAAATTCTCAGGCGATGATATATATATTGGATGAATTCTGATACTTCGGAGAAGTGATAATTCATAAATTACAGTGTTTTTAATTTAAACACTTCCCAAAATTATAAATAGTTGTTTATTTTAGTGTTCAACAACAGATTTTTCGGTTTAGGCCTCGTTTTTAAAAGAAATTTTAAAACCGGGCCGGTTAACCTTAGTGAAAAATACCTGATCGAGTCAGACAAAAATTTAATTCCAACTGTGCCGGGCTGAGCCTAAAACTTTTGACATTTGCAGACCTCCCTGAGAGTTTCCATTTACAATTGTGGTTATTAGAAAAGAATGTTAATTTTCACTATGGTTTTGCAAAGAAAACAAGACCTTTAAAGGCTATGTAGCCTAGAGATCAGAATGCTAAGAATTTTTAAAAGGCTCTTTAGACTCCAGGCCTGTAAAATTTTTAGCCCGGCTCTACTCTTAAAAAAATTTGTACAAGTTACCCAGCCCGTAATAATACTTTGGAATTTTTTTATTATTATTTAAGCTTTAAAAAATTTTAGCGAAATCCTAGGCGGCTCGGTTCCTAGGAATATTTCATACAAGTAATTCGGCCCGAAAAATGTTTTCAACATGTTATCCGGTCTGCAGGCTTGGCTTAGCACCATGTAGATCCCTAATGTTGTAGCATATTGTGCTGCTCACTATCACTTTTTCTTCACGGTTAATTCATATTAGTATGAGTTACCCTCAACATTATGCCTATTCAAGAACGAATACAAATAGTGAACTATTCGTTTTCAACATTTGTTTATTTTCATAATATTTTCACACCATTTTATAATTTGAACACAAATTTATGCGAGAACTAATATTTCAGACCCTGATATTTTTTAAATAAATTTATTTTTGATAAATTATTACCTAAATATCTTGTATAAATATGGGTTATGATTGATTAATTAATTTACCTTTAAGATCATATTGTTAAAAAAGTCTGCCCTCTAAAAGAAACTTCACCTGTAAACAAAATGAATTCAGTAGAGCTGGTATTGACAAAAATAAAAAATCATGTATAAGTATCGAAGTATCATAACGATTCTCCTCAGAGGGGGTGTTGACTCAAGATCGTCGTTGAAGTGGAGGGTAATGAGTTATTACGATATCGTCATTAGTTAAGGGAAGGGGGTAAAAATGTAAAGGATTTGATTTGTATTTTATTTTGCTCATTTAAATATTTTTTTGTTAGGATTATCTTTTTTTTTTGATAGATTTTGATTTCATTTTTATTGGCTAATTTGGATTTTTATTTTTATCTAGGCAAATTCTACTTGCGAGAAAAAAAGATGGCGGCAACACGTCTAAACTTAGCCCTATCCCCAAATTTCTTTACTCCCTACTCTCGTCTATCTCTACCTAATGAAAAATATATAGAGACAAACATACCCCCTCCCCAACTCCCCTGTTTATATAGACACATCCCTTTATTTAACTATGTATTTATTTTAATGATAATATACAATAAAATAAATTTCAAAATGTATATACAGATTATTATGTTAAAAATTTATTGTAAATAAAACTGTATTTTTAAAAATATATAATTACAATAAAATATGAGTAATTCTTGTTGCACATAACGGTATTTAAAGAAATATAATTTAACAATTATAATTAATACAAATGATTATATTATCTAAATATAAATAACTCTTATTACAAATGCAATACTTTTATTAAAAATAGTATAATATAAAAGATATATAAATATTATGACAAAGAATTTATTATAATTAAGTTTTTGCATATAAAAATTTTATGACAAACACATATTATAATCATATTGCAATTATATGATTTGAAATAAAGAGAGATCCACTTTTCTCTGAGCTTTTGCTAATTATCTAGAATAATCTCTTTATAAATGTTTAATAAGGCTAATCCACTTAAACGGTTTTCATGGTACTATTTTTTTAATAGGTTTTTAACCTTTTCAAAGTTGAAAAAAACCTTTTATTAGTGCAGGCACATCGGTGAGGTAGCGAAAATAAAAAAAACAATGTTTTGATATTAGGCAGGGATTATAAAGTGCAATTACACATGGAAAAGGAGTACAAAGCATTTTTTGGTCTCAAAGAGTACTCTAGATTTTTATACCAATATTCGACATCACAAAGTAACTTAGCATACGATCCTGATAATCATCAGAGTAAAACTCTGAGATTTTCTGAATATCCTCTTGTGTTTTTAAGTGTAATCAACAATTCAGACTCAACCGGCAAAAGAAAATAAAAGCTTGTTGTTCATCTTTATCAGATTAAACAATTTTTCTTTTAATTAAAATTAGTGTTGTTAAACGGCTCATTTTGAGCCGATTTTTAAAAACAGTTAACTCAATATTTTATTAGGAAATTTATTATGCAAGCCTTAAGATTTTGCTCATAGGTTGGCACAAAGCGTATCACGTCAATACCGCGAAACTTTTACCGCGAAATGTATTATCGCGAATGCATTATCGCGAATGTCGATTACCGCGAAAAGATACTATAGCGAATGCATTACCGCGAATGCATTATAGCGAATGTATCATAGCGAATATATTTGCGCGAATGCATTATAGCGAATGCATTACCGCGAAATAATTATAGCGAATGCATTACAGCGAATGTAATACTGCGAATGCATTATCGCGAATGCATCATAGCGAATGTATTATAGCGAATATATTAGCGCGAATGCATTATAGCGAATGCATCGCGAAAACATTATAGCGAATGCATTATAGCGAATGTAATACCGCGAATGCATTATCGCGAATGCATCATAGCGAATTTATTATAGCTAATATATTAGCGCGAATGCATTATAGCGAATGCATTATAGCGAATGCATTATAGCGAATGCATTATAGCGAATGCATTATAGCGAATGCATTACAGCGAAAACATTATAGCGAATGCATTACAGCGAATGTATTATCGCAAATGTATCATAGCGAATGTATTAGAGCGAATACATTACAGCGAATGCATTATCGCGAATGCATCATAGCGAATGCAATATCGCGAATGCATTACAACTAACATTATCACAATGCAATAGTGATTTATATTTGACAAAATTATATAAAAAATATGTGGAATTTGGTATACTCAATTTTTTTAACGATTAGATTAAGTCGTTTTACAAAAGACCCTATTAATAAATATTTTAATATTTTATATTTTAAGATTGATTCTAATATAAGTTAATTTTTGCCCCAACAAGCCCCAAACCCCAGGCTTGTAGATTATATTGGTTTATTAAGTCTCCTATAGGATAATTGTTATTATCAATAATACACCATTTGTATATAAATAATTCATAAAAAATTTCAAATTGTGATATTATATTTTAAAAAATGTTTAAGTTTTAATGAATTTTTTAATTTTTTTCCTAATTCTTTTGATTATCAACCACCAGAAAAGGTGAAAGTTAAAGGGAAAAAAATAGAATTTAAAGATAATAGCCAATGAATACTTATTATATCATATCATATTTTTAAGCATAATATAATTAATTCGACTTAATTCTACTAGCCCCTAGTTACTGATATGATTAACCCTTTCCAAGGCTAAAAAAATATGTTGATAATTTTAAATTTTTTTAAATAAGATTAGATGAAGGGGAACATTGGATTGAGACCTCTATCTTATTAAATCTTTTGTAATCGTCAAAATTATTAATTTTATAGCTTTGAAACATAAAATCTTATCTTTTTTAAATTTAAACATTGTTAAATTTAATAATAATAAATGCCAACTCCTGTTTCAAATATAAATCTTAAAATGATAAAAAATATATTTAATTATATATTTTGGTGGTTTCAATAGAGATGATATGATATGTGAATTTAGTTCAAATTTAATATTTTGTAAGTTATTTTCAAATCATATTATTCTGCCTGAAAGGGAATGCCTACAATAAATATTTTTAAACATAATGATTATGAGACTTTCTGAAATGGGAAAAGAAGATTTTTTTAATTTCATATTCTGTCTATTTAATTATTTCTAAATCTCACTGTGCAAATTGGTTTATTATTCATGATACGGTTTAAAACAATTTCAACTTTAAGAGAGACAGAAGGCCACAAATCCATATTTTTATGCCGTTTTATATTATAGTGAAAAACATTTTAATTATGCTTTAATATTATTTTCTAAAGGGTTAATCATATCAGTAACTAGGGGCTAGTAGAATTAGGTCGAATTAATTATATTATGCTTAAAAATATGATATAATAAGTATTCATTGGCTATTTATGCTTTAAATTCTATTTTTTTCCCTTTAACTTTCACTTTTTCTGGTGGTTGATAATCAAAAGAATTAGAAAAAAAATTAAAAAATTCATTAAAACTTAAACATTTTTTAAAATAAAATATCACATTTTGAAATTTTTTATGAATTATTTATATACAAATGGTGTATTATTGATAACAATTATCCTATAGGAGACTTAATAAACCAATGTAATCTACAAGCCTGGGGTTTGGGGCTTGTTGGGGCAAAAATTAACTTTTACTAGAATCAATCTTAAATTATAAAATATTAAAAATATTTATTAATGTATAACTTAAGTTAAGTGTTTGTTGGGCTATCTCATGGTATTTAATAAATTCAATTATAAATTGTCAAGCTTATGATGATATTGACAAAAACGACTACTAGCCCTATTCCTACTATTGGAAGAAAGTTGATAATGAGATCAAAAATTTTGATTATTTACCGGGCGGCTAAAAAACGTCGCGTTTTGAAATCTTATTAACTCCGAAACGTGTCATTCGTTTTTTATGAAATCTCCTGTCTTAATATTCTCAAAATATATAATTTTATAAAGTGGTTTTTAGAAAATTAAGATAAAAAAAATGTAGTCGTACATATATATTTTTAAAGATTTCCTTTAATTCATAAACTATAACATAAAAACAAAATATTTTAAATTTTATAAAGTGGCTTTTAAAAATTAAGATAAAAAAATGTAGTCGGACATATATATTTTTAAAGATATCTTCAAATTCATAAACTATAACATAAAATATTTTGGCATTATTAAACAAATCTCATTATTAAATACCACTAACAATATAACATACGATAATTTTCTAAATTATGTATTTTATCAAAGATCTGATAATGATAAAATTTTGACATGAGAAGAAAAATTGGAATCAAGTTTAATTCCTGAATTCTCTAGGAAAAAGTGGAATATTAATCCAGTTCACCAAGCTAACCCCATGGTTATCATATAACTCATCAAGCTCCTTTTGTTTTTCAACTAAGATTTTATCAAGCAAAACCATAGATTCGTAATACGAATTCCACTAGAATTTATCAGATACCTACCCAATTTCTTGATGTTACCTGCCATATTGGTAGACATTTTTTGTTTATTCCACAAAGTAAGACACTTTTGGAAAGAACTTTGTGATATTATTTTATGTTATCAGCTAAAGCTAAAAAATTTATAATGCCCATAATTAGGGGAGACCGGTGTTATAATGAACCCAGGGTTATAGTGAGAGTAACTTTATTTTCTAGAGTATTAAACTCTAAGAGATAATTTTTTACCAAAACTATATACTTATATATTGCATATGCGGCTATAATTTTTATTTCTATCGGACCGCTTGAAGAATTTTTATAATGCTTTATAATATTCGTACCTTCAAACGTAACTTTTTACACTTTTACTATTTTTCAAAAATAAAGATTAATATACAATTTTACCACACAAAAATTATCTTATATAAAAGAAAAAATCCTATTTTATAGAATAACAATTTACCCGAACAAAATTGATAATATAAATACTTCAAAATATGATCTTAATCAAAGTAGTGCTACTGGGGCTATTTTTATGGGGTTAGGTCGAACCTTATTTTTTTGCTATTTTTTAAAAATTTGACATGGAAAAAAAAGCCAAGGAGAGAGAGAGACCAACTAAAAGATATGATAAATAATTGTTTGGTATACAAATAAATTATATCAAGCATAACAATCAAGACTGCTTTCAATGTCAGTTATTAGTTACATGGCTTTGCTATTTTATTGTTTTTTTATTTGCAAAGATTGTGAATGTTTTAAATGATTTTATATAACACTTTTATGTTTTAAATCATTAAATATATCCTAATAAAAAAATATATAACTTTTATATATGGAAAATTAAGCAGAGTTTATAATAGCCTCGACCAAGGGCTTGTTCGTCCCCGGGTAGGGTTCACTCGGTTACCAAAAAAAATCCAGGAAAAATGATATTTTGAAAAAATTATTAGAAATGTATTTTTGAAATATAAACATATCATAAAACTAATAGAGCTGAACAAAATGAGATATTTTTTATTAAAAATGATAAAGTACTTATAATTTTCTTAAGGTTTGCCTTTAGGGTTCGCCATAACCCCGTTCTCCCCTACAAGTTTTCAATAAATTAAAAAGAAAAAACTTGATGTTTAATATTTAAAATGATTAGATGAAAAAGAGAAATCTATATTATTACTTAGAATCTTTATTATATATTTTGAGTCAAAAAAAAGAAAAGCCTTAGCCTTAATTTCAATAAAAAAATGTTTTTAGAGCCAATCCCCATTTTAACTTAATTTTCAGATTCAACTAAGTCAGTCGAAAAGTCGATAAATATAAAATTGTAACTTTCATGAAACTCCATTCGCGATATGATAATGCATTCGCGATAATTCATTCGCTATAATGCATTCGCTATAATGCATTCGCTATAATGCATTCGCTATAATACATTCGCTCTAATGCATTCGCTGTAGTGTATTCGCTATAATACATTCGCGATAACATTTTCGCGGTATTACATTCGCGCTAATACATTCGCTATAATATTTTCGCTGTATTATATTCGCTATAATGCATTCGCAATAATGCATTCGCTATATTATATTCGCGATAATGCATTCGCTGTAATGCATTCGCTATATATATCTTTTCGCGGTAATGGACATTCGCGATAATGCATTCGCGATAATACATTTCGCGCTAAAATTTTCGCGGTATTGACATGTAACCGGCACAAAAGTTTGAACATCTATTAACTAAATCTCGAGACTTAGAGAATATATTTCTAACTAAAATATTAAGTTGGCCGCCCCTTGTCTATGCCACTGTATATACTAAAGAACGAGCCTTGTCCCCGGGCCCTCTAAGCTAAAAAAAATTCATAAGCATAGATTTTTTGAAAATAAATTTTTACTAAAAAAAGAAGCAGGACAGTAGTGTGGTTTATTTCACGGTCGTTCTAAACTTAAGGATAAAAGTGGGAGAGATATTTACTTTTCTAAACCTTATAAAAAGTTTACCCTTTCACTGTCTGTACATGCAGAGATAATTTGATGTACAACAAGTATTTCATTTTTTTACGATGCAAATAGAAAAATATTTATAACCAAATTTTACTAAGGGTTTATTTAAGGGGAGGGGGGGGGGTGATTCTTTTTCTGGGTCCTCAATCGAAAAATTGCATCTCTTAAACCCTGATAAAAATTTTGCTCTCACTGTCTTCATGATTGAAGTTAATTAGGTTTGGTGTGAACACATATATTTATTTCATTTCATTTATATTATATTATATAGTAAATAAGAGGATGATGCATAATTACAAAACTCAACTTATAAAATGCAAAATTTATCTATTTTACTTTATACCATTTTATGCACATCTTATCAAATTACCTTTTACAAATATAAAATTTATTCATTATAAGAATAAAGAAACTATTTTTATTTTTTATTATGTTATAATATAAAGAATAATAATCAAGCCAAGTTATAAGTTATAAGCATATATTAATTAGTTTATCATACTCATAGTTAATGGGGGTCTGTGCATAATACATTATATATTCAAAACATTTAATCATAAAAATAATCTAAATAGGACTAGTGTTGTAAATGAACGCGTTCGAAATGAATGCATTGAGAACGAAGTTCGTTTTTGAAAAAAATGGTGAACCTCGTTCCTTTTATTTTCGACGAACTTTGAACGTGAACGCGTTCCTTTTTTATGACGAACGCGTTCGAATTTAACGTTCGTTCAATTTTAAAAACACCTTTTATTTTAATTTATTTGAAAAATATAATATTAATCCAAATTTTTAAGAATAATGTCTTATATTTTATAATCAACTGTTTATAGTTAATTAATTTGAATATTATTGTTTATATTTTAATTTAATAGATTTGCATAAGCATGGAATTATTATTTCATCATCATTATCTGATTCTGAAAATTCAAAATCAGATGAATTAACATTAACATGACCCAAATATGATAAATATTTTACAGTAACATCCTATATTGAAGGAACTAATTCAATACTAACCAAATGTAAAATGTGCTCAAAAAGTATTATATAGTTTCAAAATCTTCAAGTTCCTATTTAAAACGACATTTGATTGTAATATTATTATTTTATTTATATAATATAAGTAAATCATTAAATTTGAAAAAAATGCATAGGTTATTTGACTCCTCCAACAATAACGATAAAAAAATTAGTGGCCTAAATTATGGTCAACTATTGATAGACGCATTATTAAATGGGACTAATAAAAATATTAAACCTATTACTATCAAATTAATTACATATATTTTATTTTTTTTAAAGATTTGAACATATATATGAAGATCAATATGTTCTTTCTGCAATTATACATACAATATTCAAGCTTCAATAGTCATAGATAAAACTTCCTCAGACGAGCCTATAAAAATGAACTTATAGCGTTATTGATGAAAAAATGCATTGAAAACCCTAGAAATGATAATGCAAGAACTGTTAATTTCGAGATATCCTTTTTTTTGACGAGTAAGTAAAAGATGGATTGGAGGAGAATAACTTATCTCAATTTTTTGAAGCAAACACAAAACAATAAATGTTTTTAATAAATTCCCCACGTTAAAAGAGTTGTTTATTAAGTATAATACTGCAATCCCCTCATCTGCCCCTGTAGAGCGCGTTTTTAGTATAGCTAATGTCATATTAACTGCCAAGTATTCTGTCTATCAGATGAAAATTTTGAAAAACAATTGTTATTAAAATTTTATAAGAAAATTTTTTTATAAATAAAAATATCTTTTTACACTATATTATATTTATAATTATATTATCAAAATAAAACTATATTATTTTTATTTTTTAACATGGCCAATATATTGTGTTAAAATATATAAGATATTTATTTAATTAAATTAAAAAAAATTATTATAAAATTTTGAACGAACGTGAACGCTTTCCTTTTTTTTGAAAGTGAACGCGAACGTGAACGCGCTCGATTTTTTTTAGAAATGTTTACAACACTAACTAGGACGTAGCCAAATTTTTACAGGGGGAAAAGGAAAGGGGGTAATTTTTTTTGAAAATTTATACATTTTCTCTACATAAGCCAACGTTAGATTTTTACAAAATACAAACTCCTAAAACTTTTAATACTAGTTCAATATATCAATTTTAGAATAAGAATTATGGAATATTCGGCATTATTTAATTCATGATAATATTATTTTAATTATAGATAAAGTACTTGTAAATGATTACTTTATGTAATATTCACTGTTTATATCTACAACTTGATACTTGTAATCAAAGGCCTGCATGCTTAGCCCAAAGCCATTCCCCCCACCTGAAAATAAAAAATTACAAACCCAAACTTGGCCGAAAAAATTTGTAAATTAACCATTTAAAAAATGACATGATTTATTTAATTTCGCTCCACGTGTATTTTAATTTAATTTCGCTTTGAAACTATATAAAATTCAATTAAAATTATTAAAAATGATTAAATTTTAAAAATCAGGATAGGGCTTTAATTTTTTTTCCAAATCTGCGTCTAAAAATAAATTCGTTTGCAGATTAACTTATCGGGGGGCGGGGTTGTCTCCCAATTACTCCCTCTCCTTAGTTAGCTAATATTATTACCATTGCCCAGAAAACAATTCATAATCGAAAAGATTTGATATTTATGTGACCCAATTATAATTACTTATCAATTTTAATTTATTTTTTTTAAAGTTTGATATTTTAAAAGCCTATACTTAAATTCAAATAACAACAATTATATTAGAAAAATTTGAAAGAAGATATTTATCACATATAATTTTTAATTATATATTTACGCGATTTTTTTAAAATATAATTTTAATAACAATAAACATGCCCGAAAATATAACAGGTGAGAATATATCAACTCAAGGATAGAATTGCTCATCTGATCTGCATGAAAAATAAAAGAGATTTATTATGGAATAGGGAAAGTTTAACGTCGTTTAAAATATTATATTCTTCGTTTGATTTTAACAAATAAGAATACAATTTTTTTTTAAATTTATCTACCTTTCTTTCATGTTGCAAATTAAATTTATTTTTTAAAAAAAATTTCTTTTTGTGACCCAAATTAATTAGCGATGTCAAACGTGTTTTGTTTTGAAATTTTGATTATATATTATTTTTTTCTTAGTTAAAAAGGGTTATCAATTTTTTATTCGATAAAGATAAAAAATTGAAAAAAAAAGAGGCACAACCTATCATTTAGGATACTGACATTCAATTTAAAGACTGTTTGATTTTTTTTACAAATAGTTTTTATTTTAGTTTTCTAAAGAATATATTTATAAATTACATACCTTTAAAAAAAATATATAAAATTAGATCATAAAATATATACAAACCCGATGCCAAGTTTAGTTTAGCATACAAAAAAAAATGGAAAATAAAAAAAGAAGAAGAAAACAAAAGATTATACATTCTTTTAATTAGTTTGAAAATGAAAATTATATCTTTTAAAAAATGTATAGTATTTAATTTATCATTTTAAAAAAATATAAAAGTCTTTTATATATATGAAACAATCTGACTATTTTATTTAAAAAAAAATTTATATTTCTTAAAGAATAATTTTAAAAGTTTAGATTTTTTCATTATATATTACTTTTTATTTAAAATAGATTTTACTATTTTCTTTCTAAATAATAAAACCAATTTTAAATTACCAAGGGATGAAGAATTGGAATTACTTTCAGTATTGTATCTATGCTTCTATAGGTAAAAAAGATTCTATTATATTTTTGAGTTTTCATACCTTAAATTTTATTTTTGAATAATATGCAATACTCATGATATTCCACATATCACCGCCTGAGAATTGGGTTATTCCATGACCAATTTTTGTCAATTTTTTTTTAACATAAATCAATTTTTTATAATTCAAAATATATAAAATAGTTAAATTATAGTCAAAGGTTATACCATAATATTAAAAATAATATAAGCTTAATTTTTAAAATTTCTCCTGTAAAATTACAAAAAGTGGAGATGGAATAATCTAATTCTCAGGAGACGATATTTTATTGTGAACTTTTAAACTGGTTGTCTTGAACATCTTGAACATTTTAATATAAAATTAAAATATGGATCCTCCTTTATCATTTTTTTTATTAGCATATATTTTTATAACAAAAATAATCATTTTATGAACTAGTGTTAGCATTAGCCCACGAATGGGTAATGATCAGAGCCATTCCTTCAGCTCTCAACAGAAAAGCTACAAATCTTTTCAGACGCGAACAACAATATTTAAAACGTCAAGGTAGTAGAAACATATTCTCAGGTAGGAATCAGGACAAAACCTTATCTAAGGACGAAGACCAAGATAATCGTAACCAGGCAAGTATCGACATATTAGCAGGGAGAAACGCGGAGAAGCGTTCTAGGGTTGATATAGCTGCCAAGTTAGCCAATAGTGAAAACGATATTTCTTCTTCGAGAAGGAGGATAAACAGCGGGCCTGTTAAAACGGGTAAGCTTATGCTAATGCCTAGCGATAAAACTTTGCATTCCCCCCTCAACTCGGCCCTGCAAGAACATCAAAACTCGAACAATCCTTATAATAGCCATCACCTTAGGTCGGATGGGCCACAACACTCTAATACATTTAAATATCAAAGTGGCGGTAATGGTAACAATGGCGGTAATGGGAACAGTAACAGCGGCGGAGATGAGTTATCCCCGCCCAATGGAGATATAATAATGGTTCCAGGTTCCATGTGTCAAAGCCACGATATAATGGATGGGATTTTAAGCGATCCATCTGATTGCTCGCGCTATTTCGTTTGCGCATTTGGTCAGGAGTTTTCTAAGTCTTGCCCACTCGGTTTATTATGGAATCAACGCACTAAATCTTGCGATTGGCCCGAAAACGTCTCCTGCGCCAATAAAAATCGTTTATATTTTTAAATGTTCTTTCTCAACTTGATTTTTTTTAAGAAAAAGGCATTTATGTTTTTTGCTCAGCAGAACATAACACACAAATATAATTTTAAGTTTGCAAGAATATATTTAGTTTCAAATACTATTTTAGTACTGAAGCCAAGTTAGATTGTAAATTAAAATGTATAAAACTGAATTATATTCAATTTTTTAAAACAAGATATGTTGGAAAATATGGTGGATCTAAGATGTGGAAGAGATAAGATCAGCTGCGCCTCCGGTAATCAGTGCATATTTTTGGATCAACTTTGCGATAAAAAGACTGATTGTATCGATATGTCCGACGAAATTACTTGCGGTAACTAATTATCACCCATCCTTTCATATTCTTTATTTATTTATTAATTTTGGTATAAAAATTTTTTTTTAAAATATAAATTAATATTTAAAAGAACACTTTTAAGATCAGTTGACACTGTTATTACTCACTAGTTAACGAAATTATATAAATTATGAAAGTCACTTATTCCTCAATAAATTATTAATTACTCCCAACTAATATAATTATGTATAAATCGGAAGTCTAAATGGGGTTAAAATCTAAATATCCTATGGTAATCGAATATTTACTTATTCAATTAAAACTAACATTTAGATCCATACAAGGTAGGCGTTTTGCCGGGAAAAGTCATATCAGTTGATGGTGGAACAATAATTCCATTTTGTGGGTCCGGTCACGCTTTGTGTACAAGCCGAACTCAATGCGTTATAATATCTCAACTATGTGATGGCATAGAAAATTGTCCTGACGGATCGGATGAAGCAGATGAAATGTGTCTTAAATCTCCAAGATAATAAAAGGAAATATATTTTTTTGACCAAAAAAATAATACCAAAGATTTATTATCTTAATATATTTTAAAAGTGATTTTATATTATTATTTATTTTTAATTAGTTATTTACAATTAATAAAGAACAAAAAAATACTTTTTAAATTTAAACGGGTTATTAAAGGTAATATTATATGTTTCTATAAATACGGTTTAATTAATCGAAATATGAACAAATATTATATTCGATTTTGAAAAATTTAATATTTTCCACAAATAAAAAAAAATGTTAATTTTGTATAATAAATGGTGAAATGTTGTTATACATTCAAAAATTTCCTTTCAAACCTCTAATTATCACCTTATCTAAATATCTAAATTTATATTATCACACAACCAACTCTAATAAAAGGCTAAAGTGTTATAATTATCATTTATTCATAAAAGTTAATCAAACGAAATTAACATTTATCCAGTATAGAATTGCTTTTAAAATGCGTTTATATCTAACATAATCTCATTGTCACTTAAATGATAATATTTTTAATTCATGAATGATTATGGAGTTATCTTTAGTTTTCGTCATAACTTCACCCCTTTCTCTTGGAAGTATAACCTAGCAAGATAATAGGTGTTATTAACAGGTAAAAAGCCAATTATTTTAAATTTCGATAAAATCAACCATACTCCAAGTAAGAAATATTTTGGTTTTATAAATTCGCTTCAAAAAAATGATATTGATATTATACCTGTGATGATTTTATTTTATTTTAGTACTTTTAGGGATCGTTTAGAAGCATGCAGAGGGGCATTTTATAAATATAGTATACCAAATTTATTCGTTTTACATTATAGTGAAATTTTATTAACACTCATTTAGACCAGGACTAGGTCTGATTTATAGATTTAATGTAAAATTGATAGAATTTTAGATTCATATAACTATGATAAAAACAAGTTTCATCTTTTTATTAATTAGAAACCTCAATTTTTTTAAGTCAAGTTATTTAATGGATAAAGGGAGTGATTAGACCTGTGCTCGGTGAAAGAACTATCGACGGGAGGCGCGCTAAAAATTTTTATTAGCTTAAAAAGTTATTTTCGATTTTACTTACTTAATTTTGTAAAAAATTTAATGACTAAATTTAATCATTTATTTGAAACAACTATTTTTGAAACAAAATTTGTTTTTTTAATACCAATATGATACATATAATTAAATTCATATTATAGTTATCTTATATCAAAATTATTATTTTTAAATTGGAAGGAGATAGTGGGGATCTTTTTGAGTTTAAGAGCCCAATTACATAAAATACATGCTCACTGTCACTGGTAGTGTTATGTTCGCTTACTAAGTGTATCGTAAGATAATAGTACTAACCGTGTTAGGGAAGGATTTAATTGAAATTGTATACTGATAGATTCATATTGGATGAATATAAAATATTATAAAATTGCAAAATAACAAGTGCTTAGTCAGCGGCTGGAGAGGGGAATCCCCCCTCGTATCAAATTTTTTTTTTAAATATAAAAGGACTCAGGAACATTCCAGGCTAGCGAGAGGGGGATAGGAGAGGGAAGAAATCCCCGGTAAGAATTTTTGAAAAAATATAAAAGGGCATCATGAATTATGAATTGTAAAGTATTCCATTTCAAATAGGTTATTCTATTCTAAATATTAGCAAAAAGTTAAAATTAATTTAAATATATATTTCTTGTATTTTAATATTTTATCTCATGAAAATTTAGTTTATTTTCTTCATTTTTTAAACCATAAACACTGATGGATATAAAAAAATTTTATCAACCGAAATAAATTTTATTTAATATATTTATACTAATAACTATGATAGGAAAATTTATAGTGTGTGAAATGTTCAGGTATTCCATGGGAGAGAATTTGCTGATAATTATTTCTGAGACATCTGGTGCTACAAGAAAATAGAAAACTGCGAGTAACCTGCACAAGATGGAGCCTTCGACATCAAGCTGTTACAGCATTTTTTGAAGCAAGAGCCTATTTTTTATGCCCTTGGAATCTCAGAATCACCCATATTTCATCTAAAGCTGATACATTATTAGGTTTAATATGACTGCCGATTTTTTTCATTGGAATGTATTAATAAATTATTTATTACATAACAATTTTATGCAATATTTTTCAAAAAAGTAGATTTAACTGAAGTTATGAGAATCGCGAATATTATTATATTACAACTTATATACCAAGAGATAATATCGACCAGAAATTTTTCGAGATTTATATGATTGTTGAGGTAAAAGAGAAATAATATGATTTTGAAATTCACAAGCCTTGACTTTACAGACAAACAAATCCTTCCAATATTAACGTGGACTCAATTGAGGATCGTTATAAAATAACTACCAATTTTGAATTTAATTTTGACTTAAATCAATGAACCATTTTTGATTTATCAAATGGCTCTATCTAATTTATAAATACTATATCAAGGAGACAATTCAATAAGAAGTAATAACTATAATAGCTAGGTATGTCAATATAGATGTTATGTATTAACATCATTACTTAGTATATAATTAATTTTTTTTTAACTAATAAACCACTACGATTCCATATATCATTACTTAGATAAAAGACTAAATCGTTATTGCATATATCAAGTCCAAATGATCTTCACTTTTTAAAAATGTAAAATGTGGACTATTTGATAAAAGATCTATTATAATAATATTATTATAAAATTTATTTTAATATTTGTTTTAAGAATTAAAATACTTATTGTAATTGTTGTGAGTTCCTTGGTTATAGTTTTTTTCTATTATTTATTTTAAAAAGTTTTTATTATAATTTAAATTTGAATAGTTTATAATTTTTTTTGTAAAAATCAGACGATATTAGTGAATTGATGTTTAATTATTTATGATGTAATGAGAAAATTATAATTTTTTGTAGAAAAATCAGAAGATATAAATTAATGATGATGTTTAATTATGATTATGTAAGGAGAAAATGGTATTTTTGTAATAGACAGACATGAAAATTATGATCATTATGTTTGAATTACAATTAGAAATTATATATAGCGACGAAATATATTTTTTAAAAAATAGATATTAATATACTTCCAATTTTTCGGATATAATTATTTTGATTTTTTAACATTTATAAGTTTTTACTATAATCTTTTATAATGTTAATTTAGTATTTTACTTTATAATTTATTATTTTATAATTAATAGAGATGAATAGAGGCAAACATAAATTTTGTTATTTAGTTTCAATTTTCATACCCTTCATTATTCAATCTATCATCTTTTTTATTTAGATTTAACTATCTTTATATCTTGGTGCTTTAATTTTTCAATTATACAGTAACTAGGGCATGGCAAGGATAATATCATTTTAGTCCAAACCAGGGCCTTCTAAATCTCCCTGAGCTATGAAGCAGAAACTCGCCCCTGAGGCCACCTTCTAGGCCCATTATAGCTGGAAATTATGTTCCTAGAATTTTTTCCTAAATTTCAATTTCCATACCATAATAAAAGTCCAGGGATCCAAACTAAAACGAATATCGGTTCGGTTCAGGTTCGGATAAAAATAACGGTTCAAGGTTCAGGTTCGGTTCGCAAAAAATAAAAATATCGGTTCGGTTTGAACCTCTAAAAACCGGTTTGAACACTTTTTTATTCAAACCTACTTTAGGATTATGTATAAGGAATTTTTTTTTTATTTCATAATTAAAATAAAAATCTTCATTTTTATTAATTGCACATTATAAAATAATATTTAATTTATAAATATAACAAATAAATATATCAATGAATAATTTTAATATGAACAATTACTTAAAATTTTTTTATTAAGCCGCACAATTAATATATTTTCAAAATTCGTCTCACTCAAATTACATCTATAAGGAGATAATATAAATTTAATTGTTGAAAAACATCTTTCCACACTAACTTGGATAACTGGCACTGCCAGTATGATATCACATTTGATGTGTTATTTATAATACTATATGTAAATAATTTATATATTAGATTTAATTTTTTTCTAGGCATTATAATTTATATGCTTAAAATATTTAAAAAAATGTTGTAAAATGGCAATATACTAAAGTTTATAAAAATTATGACTGACGTTTATCAATCTAATATGATTGATAATAATTTTTAAAACAATTTGAATATAATTAAAATTTTTGCAATATACTACTAGTAATAACTAACACATTATTTTATAAGCATAAAATTATGAGACTCGAACCGGTTCAGAGGCATTTTAGTGGTTCGGTTCAGGTTCGGCTAGAATTTTTTTAGAGGTTTAGGTTTGATAAAAAATACCGGTTTTTAGCGGTTTAACGGTTCGGTTCAGGTTCGGTTTGGATCCCTGCGGCAAACATAAAATATAAAATACACCAGAATGGTTGATTGTATTAAATATAGCATTTTTATAACAATTCATAGAAAATAGAAAAAAATATTATATTTCATAAAAAATTTATATTTAATATTTCAAAATATTTAAACTTACAGATTTTTTAATAAAAAAATATTAATATGACTTAGCATCTACATGGCAGAAAATTTGTTGGAGGCAAACCCCCTCCAAAATCTACCCATACCCACCTAAAAAAACCCCGAATAAGCCACCATTTATAACCTTACAACATAATTCTATTTACAATCTTTCAAGCCTATTTAGTAAAAAAAATTTAAAAATTTGTAGGTGATAATCAACTATATTTAAATAATGCAATCTTTTCATAATTTGGTTGATATTCACTTTATTTTCATAAAATTGAATTAAATGAGATAACATATTAATATTTCTATAAAAATTATCTAAAATATTGTAAAAAATATAAGACGAGTAATTTTAAAGAGGTATATTTAGCTTGATTCCACATACCTATATTACCTTTTAATTAATTAAAAACATGTATTGTAAATAGAGTTATTATATAAAATATTAGAATAAAATGAATTATAGTATATTTTGCATTGAAATTATAAGATGATAAATTAAATTTACA